AATAGAACACTTTAGTTCCTAAATTATAAAATTTATTCCACTTAGGTAATGTCATTAAGAAATTGAGGCAGATTTTATGCCTCAGTGAATATATTTTATGAATTAAACTAGAATAAATTTCATACTTTAGGGACCATAGTGGATAAGTTCTATATTTTAGGAAGCAAAGCGTGACAAATCTTATAGTTTAAGAAATTAAGACTTTGTTTGGAAAGTCATTTTTTCTAAAAAAAAATTTTACTTTTTTCGTGCACTTATTTTTTATTTTACATATATTAAGTTGCTACAATATATATATATTTTTTTCGAAGTGTTTCTTTTCAAGTTTAGGAATAAAAGTAAGAATTCGAATGTAGTAAATGATAGTGCTAAGAACGAAAGTAAGAGTTCGAATACACTAATTCATAGTGCTAATATAAATGATGACCTCGTCAGTCAAAAAGTTGAATTGACTACCCAATTTCAACACAACTTTCTTAAGCTGACTACAAAAAGTTCACAACCACCAGCCCTTTCTCCTATTGGTCGCTGCCAAAAACTTGCTAGGACAAAGGTTCAACTCTGGGCTCCTATCAAATTGTTATCTTATATGATTTTTATTTTTTATACAGAAGTGTTCGAATCAATTCTTACGGGATATACGATTATTTTTAGTGATTTTTTTCTATAAAATTTTTAATTTTATCAGATTAGATTAAAGAAATGCTATCGTTATTATATAATATCCACACAACTTGCTTTGCATTTTTTTTGAAATTAAAATAAAACCAATTGTAACTTTTTCCCTTTGCTTTGCACTTCTTTTGAAATTAAAATAAAACCAATTATAAAACAGCGCTACAAAGTATCAACCGGTTAACTATTGGATCGGATTCTGCCATTGTTTTCCAATTTCAAACGATAATTCGAAAACCAGAAGAGAGTTATTATCCAAAATTTTTTGAAATAATGGTATAGCCATCCTGTATGTAGCTTTTTATCTATCCCCTAACCTTCTTCCTCCCTTTTGATGAGTAAATGAAAACACGTCCATAAAAACCATTTTTTGTGTAATTATATAGTATATTATTCGGCTTGAGCAACAGCTTCAGTTTTATCCGCAATTTCACTTCTGTGCTCGACCAAAAACAAAAGTCTCAGTCCATTGAAGTGCGCGCATTTGACGTCTTCAGCTTTGCGGTTGCCGGATGCTGATGAGATGAACATTAATGCTTGCTTTGGATAAACAAAACTTCTTTACTTTGGCCGACTTTCTTGGCATTTCAAAGGCAGAAGTTAGATATGCTATATCATTTACACAGGTTTAAATATTGTAATGTTGTTCATAACCAGTTTGAATTTCTTTTCGACCATTCTTTCTCAAATTGTAGAATAAAAAATAACAGGAACTATCGTATTCAAGGTTGGGAAAAAGCCCAAATTGTGTTAAAATCTAATTTGGAAAGAATCTTGACGCTTGACACGTGTTTCGTCGTGAAGGCAAAACAATGTGAGAGGCTTTTTGTTTCTTGAGTTAGCCGACATGATAGAGTTGGCGTTATATATTTCTACCAATTAAGGTTTAAACCTCTTTTGGAACATCTATCCGCCACACAAGATTTGTCTAGTGTGTTTTATCCCTCCGTGTGATTGACGGATTATTATATGAAACTGGATTTATCCTGTGCACACTCTTAGATAGCGATTATGAGTTCCCTTATTAAAAAAAAAAAAGTGAGAAGCTTTTTTATTATTTCTAGGGACAATATCAGAAACCTCTCTTGAGATTTCTCTTAATGTCACTTAGCACCTTGAGATTTTAGAAATATCACACAATTGTAAAAAGACTATATTAACCTTCACTTGACACATAATTCATAATATATCAAATAAATAGAGCTCAAAAATTAAAAAAAAAAAAAGAAAGTCATTTTCTTCTTTTTTTTTTCCTTTTTCTCATCATTTTCTCCAACTCATATTTTTTGGATTACTATGCAATATTTTATTTGTAAATTATAACAAATTAAAATTTGTTTATTTTTTACTTTTTATGATTGTGATAAAGTGGGGTATGACTTATTTGCTTATTTTGAGTTGATTTTTATAATGATTGGTACAGTTTAATGGTTTGAATAAGGGTTGAGAAGTTATTAGAAAAAAAATATAAATTCATAGGAATCGATTTTGAACATATAAAATTAAATTGATGCAACTAATTTCTTTTCAAATTTCTTTTTTTATTTTTCAAATTTATATTTTTATGAGGTATAGTATTGTAATGTGATAGTACTACGAGAGATTGTTTTTGAGGTGATGGTTTTCTTGAAGTGAACAATGTGATTTAGGAATATTTTTATTTAGCAAGTGAAAGGGTAGTTCAAGGTTTTTAAAAATTTTGTTACACAAATAACAAAAGTAAAGAAAGTAAGTGATATTTTTGAAACCTTATAGGTGCCAAGTGATATTAAGAGAAACCTTTCTGATATTACCCTTATTTCTAAGGTTAAGTTTCGTGCGTTGAGCAAAGTTAGAAAGGAACAATGGATAAGTGCTAACTTAAACAGGCAACGTGCAAGGTACTAAGCTGGAAATTTTTTGGACTAGGCAGTTTGAATAAGACATGCAGAACCCAGGAATCTGGACACAGATAACACCTGCACGACAACTTTGAGTTTGCCTAACCATTTACCAAATTGTTTTCACTATAAACATCGTGTTCAGGAAGCATTAATTCCCCAGCTGCATGCGCTGCGCCATGCTCGACCGGTCACATTTTTCTCTACATTGATTGATTTTAAACCTTCCCATTGTGCTTTTGATCCAAACAATCAACAAATATCATCGCGCATGCAAGATGAAGTTTAATTTGCTTCCCCCTCCAATTTTGCAATTCCACTGTGCTTTTGATTCTTGCTACTTTTCTGCGTTGCATACTTTCTCTAGTTTTATCCACGATTTCAAGGTGCCTAATCAAAGAATGCTCATTGTTTTCTTGCATCCACATCAATATTCTCCCTAATCTTAAATCTTACTCTCAATTTGAGGCCTTTCTAAGTTCGGTCTGCTTTTGCCAAATATAGGAAAATTTCTCTGAGTGATCTACCCAGTTTTTGCTCTGCCTGGCTAAAGCTGCAAAAAACTGGACACTGCACTTTGGGAATGACCCCACTGGCCTGAAAGATAAAGGAATAATAGAAACGTGTTAACCAATCGCTGATATTTAATAAAATGGGTACATTACACTTATCTCGCCTTTGATTTTATGTAAAAGTTAGGGGTCTTCCGGTCTTCATTGGATGGCTAGCAAATTTTATGGCTACACATGGAATTAAGTGTCATCAAATTTTCACAATTGTAATCTTTTTTTTTTTTTTTTGGGAAAAAATCTGCTTATGTCATTATGAGGGCATTTTGGAGACATTGAAGTACATTTATGACAAATTTGGTTAATTTCTCTCCATTAGTTGAAAGTAGGGGAGGTTCATCCCCAAGAAAACTAAGGAATACAAAGTCATGGCTTTGGATGTTCAACCATGAGAGGTTCATAAAATTCCATAGTTATGTAATGAAAGTAATAATTTTATTTTTGAACTTTACATTTTCAATTAATGAAAACAATATACAGCTTTTTTTTCTCTCTTTCTTTTAATCTTTTATTTTATTATCTTTTCATGGGAAAATAATGAAATATTATTGAACACATTATGATATTTCTTTCCTTCTTACTAAAAATATTGCCCCAAAATATGCACGGGTCTAATAGACTATATTAGTTCCTAAATTAATTTTAGATTGAATTTTGATACAATTTGCTCACTATTAGTTTGATTGATAACCTTAACTTTATGTTGATTGTTACAATATTTTGTTCAGTATTCTTACCTAACTCTATTCTTGTTTAGAATTTGGTTCATTTTAAGTTTCACGTACATATACTATATCCTTTTTTCATTCTCAAACTATATTTGAATAGTTAATCAAAAAATACTCTATCTACTTAAATAAACATTTGGACTTTCAAAATTGATGTTGCGATATTAATTGTGTTGCTAAATGCAAAATAAAGAAACTATTAGTAATATATAACCAAACCAAATAACAAGGGAAAAAAATGTGATCAAAAAATATTTAAAAAAAAGAAAATTATGAGATGCTTGAAATTAAAAGATTGATTGAGAATTGCAATAGTTAAGAAAGTAAAAAAAAAAAAAAAAGGAAAAGAGAATAAGCATGTGAAAAAATAAAGATAGATTTGATTGTTGTCAAAAAGCAAAATACTATAAAGTTTTGAAAGTTGCTATAGTTAAGGAAGTAAAAAAGAAAAAAAGGATAAGTGCATGAAAAAATAAAAATAGAATTGATTGTTACCAAAAATAAAATACTCAAAAAGCTACTCAAATAAAACATTAAATTTGGCACGTAGCGAAAAGATAGGGAACTGAGATCGAATTTTAGAAAGAGTTCAAATTATTCAATTTTAGTAATTATAATATCTAATCAGACCAAATAATAAGAATAGAAAAGGTGATTGGTAAAGAATAAAAAAAAATTGAGATACTACTATGAAGTGACTGACAAAAAAGTTTAGAAAGGCATAATTAATACAAACGCATATAAAATAAAAAAAAAAGTAAATGATTGATTAAAAGTTCCTATAGTTACAGAAGTGAAAAAAGAGAAGAGTATAATTGGGTGAAAAATCAAACATAGAATTGATTGCTACCAAAACTAAAGTACTTAATAATGGTTCGAATAGAAAATTAAATTTGGCCACATGACAAAACGATGAAGTATTCATTTGACAGAAGGTTAGAGTAGCCAGCTCATCAAAATATCAAAATAGTAATTGAAATTTTCGAACTTACATTCGGAGCACCGGTTTTGAACTCTTTCTCCGCATCCTTCAAAAAAAACACTACCTTCTCCGCGAGATATTCTCTGACGGATCAATTTTAATCTTAAATTTACTCTGTCCCTCTTCATCATTATTCACAAGCAGCGAAAACAAAATGCTGAAGAACGCAATACATGAGTGGAGACGAACTTTCTTGCTTAATAAATCAGACACAAACATTAGATTAAGTCTTGACTGGGAACCGGGGAGAAAGGTCTGGTTGCAGTTCTTGCAGATTTAACATGAACGAAACCTCCTCATTAAGCTTCCCCCCCCAAAAAAAAAAAAAGTCTTGAATAAGAGAGAGAGAAATACACAAAAATCCGAATTCGAGGATGAGACGAGTGTATAACATACTTTGACACAAAATTACAGGACGGTAATCCATAAAGAAACAGAGGCGACAACGATTTATTTTTGACTCCTTTGCGCGCTTATAAATTACTCCTGCGTCGATTAATTGGTTGCTTCCCCCGAAAGGCCTAGAGAGTATATAAGCAGCTTCCATCATCACTCCTTGCAGTGGGATCAAAGTTGTTAGCATTAGGGTCAGTGCATCCTTCAGGAACTGGAACACCCACTTGCTGAGCTGCTTTGCCTGAGTAGAAGAAGGGGGAAACAAAAAACAGGAAACCAATGTTTAGGAGAGAAATTTCTCCTACTACGTTTTCCAATTGCACATGATCATCACCTTTTGCATAAAGAAAAAGAAGCAAACCTCCTATCAAGGCCTGTAGCTAGGATCAAGAAAGCTAACCGTAGAAACTTCCACTCTTAAGAGCATCCTCGTTGGCATCACCAAGAGCGGCCTCGTTCAAGTACTTGTCAGCCAATTGGACCCTCTTCACGTTCTCCTGCTCTTGGACGAGCATGTTGCCGTACTCGAGGAGTTTCTCCAAGGTCATGGCAGGCTTCTCGAACTGTGGAGGGCCTTCCCTTGAGTTCACGAGCTTTTTCCCAACTTTGTCCACTCCAACACCGGAAACCCACTTCCTCACTTCATCATCGTACACTCTTGCCCTCAATGCACCAAAGAAATCTGCACGACAGTCGTCCAATATCAGTTTTCAAACCGAAAATGAGATTAAGATGCCAGCCCTACCTAGTTTAATTAATGTATATCCAGTTCCCAACTCACCAATGGATTGACCAGGGAAAGTGTCGACAAGTTTGACAATATCTTCATGAGGAACATTGTCAGCTCGGAAAATACCGGTGCAGACACCAATACGATCGTCGCGGGTTGGTGCCCAGTAGAATTTCTCCATACGACCATCACGGATAAGGGGAGCATACAAGGTGGAGAAATCATTACCGGTGACAATGATGGGCACACGGGGGTTCTCTTCTTTGTTGTACATACCGGGGAGTTGGACACAGGTGGGGTTATCAGCAATGTTCATGAGGGTGGCGTTAACCATCTGGTTGTTAACAGTGTATTGTGTAGTTCCACCGAGACGACCAGCACCGGCATCAAGATCGTTGATGAAGAGACAGCACATTTTTCCCTTCCTGATAATGTCAGCTGCTTCCCTGTATCTTTGCCTGATAAGCTTGGCTGGCTCTCCTGCATTTCCGCTTTCCAGTTCTCCGGCACTCATCATGATAGGGCTGAAAAACCCAATCAATAATTAACCCCAGTAACTCAAGACTCGTGTTTTTGTACTCAACCTATGAACCGACCTCCACATTTTTCTTGTGGAGAACTTGAACTATGAAAACAAGAACAACTATATAAAACTCACTTGATTCCCATCTTGGCAAAGACGAGCTCACACTGGAAAGATTTTCCTTGACCTTTGCCTCCCCAGACACCCAGGATGAGGGGGACCTATTACACAATAAGGGGGAAACTATCAACTTTCCATGGCACGGCAATTACAGAGACTACTTAGGTGATGGATCTTGTTAAAAGATGGTTCAGTACTGAAGGAGGTATTTTAATAAAATCGATACTCACCAGTTAATTACGAATGTCCTTTGCGTACTAGTGTGGAGGTTAAAATTGTTTATTTAGAAAATATTTTATTTTTATTACACGTGGCTGCGTAAAGTAGTACAGTTCCACTTATCGGAGTCTGCGATAGTGCGATTAGCCATTACTATGATGAGTACGGGTTACATACATAATGCTTCACATTAATACTATATGATATCAAGTACATTTACCTTGATGCCAGGCAAGGACATGTAGTTCTTGGTTATGTGAACAACGAGCTTGTCCATGAAGGCAGGAGCGATGTACAAACCGTCCATGGTGTTGTCCAAATTGTATCTGCAGCAGGCAGCAGCTCAGCATGATTAGTGAGTTAATACTTTGAATTCCAATCTCATAGTAAGTGAGGATTAGTTTTAATAGTACTCTTACGTGCGAAGTCCCTGACTGAGGTATTCGTAAGAGCTGAGGACAGCATAGTGGGTTCCCGTTCCCGAGGGGGCTTGGAAGAGAGAATCAACCATACCCTTTCCTCTGGTGATGTCTTGTTGATCATCAGAGGTATCAGTGCCTAGGCCCTTCCATCTGTCCGTCTCGGTCTGCTTACCCTCGTCAATCTCAGTAGCCACGATTTTAAAGTTTCCCGGTGAAACCTTTGGGGCTGTGTAGGATGAGTTCACCTTCTTCAGGCTGCTGCCGAAGAAGGCTGAGCTAGGAACCGCAGCTCCAGCTCCAGAGCCATTCAGGTTGAGCTGTACGCATATCAACCAAATCCAAACCTTGTCAATCACTAGTAAAATACTACCAAAACCACGTATCAGTAGAAGGTTAAGCAGATCGAGAAACAAAAAGCAGCGTCACATGCGACTTCATTCCAATTGAGCTAGAACTCTAATCGATGGCTACTCTTGCTTCAACTAAAACCAGAACACTTCATCTTGATCCCATTTAAGTTGTTAACTTTTATCATCAATGGTTCCAATCCTGTCTTAGCACACAACTAGTCCTGAGACAAGTACGCTTGTTTAAATAGAAGTACATGCATGGAATCTGATCGTTGTCTTTCTTAAAATCAGTACCATCTTCAAGAGTAGATAGTTATACGAACTGGAGTGGATACTTTAACCCCCCAAAGTATTTTCCAGGACAAAAGGTATTCAAGTTAGACATGAGTATTACTCAGGCAAGTACTTAGAAGACTAATTAAGTTATATTATGTTAGAATAATCAAATTTCAAGCAATCAACCGGTATAAACACAGCGAACCATACATGTACTTAACTTGATGATTTTGAAATCCCAAAAGGTATTAGAGAGAAAAGGAAAAGATGAGGTACCGGGGCAAAGTTGACAGCTCCGATTGAGGAGACGGCGGCTGCCATTGTTATTTGTGATCCCACTGGCTGAGAAGGAGAGTGAGAGATGGAAGGTTTTGAAAGTGCAAAGTGAAGGGTGGGAGTGGAGGAGCCGGTGCTTATTAACGATATGACCAGCGAGGATATAGGAGAGAGGGGAACTTATAGGCGTAATTGAGTGTACAGAAATTGAAGTCCAAAGGATTGGCTTTCGAATTCTTAACCGCCACACACTCAAGATTGCCTTCTCCCCACGTGGCAAGCCTACGCTTCCTGTTGAAATCCTCCTTAGAATCTTGAGGTTAGCGCTTTAGCTTTGCTCCTCTCCACTTAAAATTTGGTAATTTGATTGCCACAAAGCTATCTCTTCAGTCATAGACATACATATACATATACATATATATATATATACATATATATATGTATATATATATATATGTATATGTACGTCGCTTGTGCACCGAAGAATACTACTCGGAAGGAACAAAAGAAGAATTATTGGCTATTGATTCATGATCTTTTTCCCCTTTGTTATCCAGAAATATATATGTTTATATTCTCCCCTTTATTTTAGTGGCATATAGAGGGTGGTAACGGTACCATGTGCTAAAACTTGGTCAGGGCTAAATGGTACTTTTCAATTTCCTTTTTTTGTTTTATTTTTTATTCTTGCTCTGTCTTGATAATGTAATTTCCTGGTTAGAAATCGTAGAAGCAAATGATTTTGTCCGGATTTGTCAGCTATGTGCTCCACACGGGTGCCGTTCTTGGAGCCTTAATCACATCGTTTTCTTTCTTAAACTTGAACGGGACAGCATATTATTTGATGGCTGAAACAAAATTTAAGACGACGCAGAGGGTTTCTGATAAATTTTTTTCAAATAAGAGGACATTGTTTGGATAGGAACGAATAATGTAGATCAAAAGAGTCAATAATGGGTAATTTACTTATCGGGACAAGGAGAGTTTCTTTTTGTTTTTTTTTTCCCAAAAAAAAAAAACTATCATTCAACACGCTGCCAATAAACCACTGAGCATAGTTTAGTGGCCACTAGGAAGGGATTTAACTTCCTCCTTGAGTTGTAGGTGGGAGTTCAAACCCCACCTGCAATAAAAAAAAAAAATTTAATAGCGGTGCCATAGCACTCTTTTGATTTAGTCAGGTCTGCATATCTACTAGCCCTTACATACAAGTTTCCTTGGACTCTCCCTCCCCTATAGATTAGGATAGAATAGATTGTATAATTGTTATCGTTCTCAGAAAATCTGGCTGCCAATAGCAACCTTTTTTTTATTTAATTTATTAGTGGAAAGACTTCCCAGTGGCAAAGTCAACTCAATTGGTTCAGGCTTGAAAGTGGGAAACCGTATTGCAACCCATTTTGTGTTTGGGTTCGGTCCAACAAACTTAAATACAGCCCAATTTGTGAGCTGCATTGACTCTAAATATCAAAATTTGACCTGGCCCAATGGCCAGTATTACCAAGGCGTATTCGACACCCAATTAACACTTTCTTGTCTTAGGTTTTTGAAGCCGGTAAGGACATTAATTAGCATATGGGATCTGCCAAGTTCCATTTTCTACAAGTTTGTCTTTTGGTGTAATTGTGTTGAAAAATGGTGTGACAAAAGTTTAAATGTGATGCAATTAAGTTGGAAAATGATGTAACAATTTTGAAAATTTTAATTTATCCCACCATGGAGTAGAATGAAACTTGTGAGGCTACGAATCCAATTCATTAGGTAAACGTGAAGTTCTTAATTTGACTAATAAGTCCTCTATTTTGCCATTTTCTCCTTTTAAGACCTTTAATTTCCCTTTAAATCCAAAAGGAAGGAAGAGATAGTATATTCTTTCCAACGTTCATTATATCGAAGCTCTTATTTAGCATTGTTTACTTCATGGCACTGTTTGAGTTAGGGGTGGGCAAAATTATCTGCTGATCTGAAAACTCGTCATATTCGATCCAATTTGATTAGAAAATTAGGATACCAGATTTGTATTATTTGATCAGGTACCTATTAAGATGCGGGGCGAGTTAGAGTCACATAATTAAAAATTCGCGGGGTACCCGACCCGCCCAGCACATATATATATTTATTTATTTTTATACACATACTATAAAATAATAATTTAGAGTTAAATAAGTAATTTCATTGAACAAATTGCATCACAAATATGAGAGACTATAGTTTATTTACAAGATTCATTTGTAGAGGTCATAATCTTATGTTTTATTGGAAAGAGTTTAATTAAGTGGAACATATATTTTAAAAAATGTGCTACTTATTACAAACTTTTATTGATTTTGAATTCTTTTAATTTTTTTCCTTTATCTTATATTCTCTTCGCATGCTTGTTCCTTGCTGGGAGACTTTTTTGGAGAAATTTTTTTTTTATTAAATCTTAGATGAATGTATAAAATATAAAATTAAATTAGTATAAATTATTTTTTTAAAAAATTAAATAATAAATGGGGCGGGACGGGTATTCGTTGATCCGATCCTATTTTATAACTGGGTATCCACTGATATGCAGGATGAGTAAAGGTCAGAAAATGATTGACCCGCAAGATGTGAGTCGGATCAGTCAAATGATGGATGGAATGGGTATCCGAACTGCACACACCCCTAGTTTGAGTGTCTTTGTGCATTGCTAAGACCAAAAATTAAGGCTCCGTTTGATAACACTGAACCTGAATTTTGAATTCTGAATACTGAAATAATTAATTTGCTGAATTTTAAGCACTGAAAAGAGATATATGAATGTCTGAATCTTAATACTGAATCTATTTATACTGTTTGATAAATATTCATAACTTAATGCTTAATAAGCTAAATTGTACAATTTTACCCTTCTATCTTTTAATCCAAAAAGGAAATAGAACCTATGATTTAATTAACTTAAAATTGTTAAGTATGAAAATGACAATAATTGTGAAGAGCAATGTATACAATGACAATGTTTCTTTGTGTGGAAAAAGGGTATGGTTTCATCGTTTTGAGAATGGGAAAACGAACTTTTAATACTCCAAAAGCACGTTCAATTACATTTCTCAATCTTGCATGTGCTTGATTAAAGCGTTCTCCTTTTGATCTTGGACGAGAAGCATTTCGAAAATCAGACAACCAATATCTAATATTTCGATATGGTGTCATAAAGCCACGTGTGTGTGGATAAGCTACATCACATAAATAATATTTATCTGCACAAAAAAAATATATATATCAAAATATAAATGTTTGTGGATGAAAATTACTGCAAAAAAATACTATTGTTAAAAAAATTTTAAATAGAGAATATCAGATTGTTTTGTTTAATTAGATAAGGATTTTGAATAGGGAATATTAGGTTGTTTAATTAGATAAGAATTTTGAAAGTAATTAACAAACAGGGATATATTTGGTAGATAAGATAAAGTAGTTGAAGTAAATCTCTTGATTCTTATCAAATTAAGCATTCAGCTACGATTCTTGTGCTGAAAAAAATACATACAAATTCAGCACCACTTAATAAGTTCAGCAGGTGAATTTTTATTTATCAAACATCCATAAATGAATTCAGTTTCAGCACTTTTTTATGTTATCAAACAGGCACTAATACTGTAACAGGGTGGTTAGTGCCTCCACCCTCCATGGAGTCTATCAGGGAAAACTGTACTCATTTAATGTCAGTTAATGTTGGAAAGTAATCAAAACAAGAAGTATACAATCAAGTGATCAGCTGGTTTGATTTATTCATGAAATTCGAAGTGACAAAGGAATCTGACCTAAAACTGGCTTTTTCTTGTGCTTCTTCCTCCTCCAAATTGCATTTCCTCTGAGAGACTATCAATGTTTGCTCCAAACCCCCCCCCCCCCCCAAAAACAAAAACAAAAAAAAAAGCTTTTCCTCCAGTATTTTTCTCGTTAGTGCCACGGACAAAAATAACCCAACCCATGAATTTAATCTCATTCCGCTTTTTCTCATTTTACCTAATGCTTCACTGACAGGCAATTGGATAAGATTCACGGGTAGAAGTACCTGTGTATGCGCCGTAAAATCAATAGTATAGAGAGTGCCAATAAAAATTCGCGACCCAAAAAGAAAAAACTTTGTTTTTATGTGCATATAATAACACAATGACACAAATGTCTCTTTCCTCTTGTGGTTCCCTCCCACTTCATTAAACTTAATGCTTTAAAATCAGTCAGAAAGCCAGAAACAGATAAAGCTAAAGCTATGTTATGATGGGTAGAATAGAAACGATTATCAGTATTCTGGGAGAACACGCTCTCTTGTTCTGCAATACACTGCTAGAGTCAAGGAACTATCAGTCCAGCTTTAATTCGTTCCCTCATCCAGTATTTATTAGGGGAAAAAGAACTTGCTATAAATGTATTTTTATGATCTCAGAGTGCTAATGTCGCCAGGTCTGCTTTTCAAATGTGACAACTAGTTCAAGAATGGACTCAAAAGACAGAATGAGAGGCAGGCGTCTAGAAGACGGACAAGGGCGGCTAGCAAGCCTACCATAGCATGCGGAATTGTGCATATGATGAACTCATGATAGGGAGAGACACTTACATCGTTAAACTCGAAAGTGGAAATGGCTCCTCTCCACCATCCCATGTTATACTTTTGTTCCTTCCATCCATCTTAGTACTCGTGCATTTATGCCAACTTTCCATTTAAAGACCCAAGAAAACTTTGCCCTTGAGAAGACTTCAAAAAAACATTTTATTTTTTTTTAATGTGTTGATAACTCAAGGAAAATGACTTTAATCTTTCCTTTCAACTATCTTCTGTTTGGCTGTTTCTCTCTGTGTTCCACCACAGAAGAGAGGAATGGACGAAGCTGTTTGCGGCTTTTGGGTGCGCTGGTAGATGAGTAGGTGGCCGTCATTCCAATGACCACCGACCCATGATACACATCGCTTGAGTGGCAAACAGCCAACCAAGGGAACCATTTACTAGCAATTAAAGTACTATATATATATGCATGATGATGCAGAAAAAAGAAATATCTACATGCGTCTAAAACGATTCCTCAATGAATCATGCAGGCCATATGAAATATATATACAAGCTGAAAGACTTGAGCCCAGAAAAAAGATAACAAACTAATACTGTCAGAATATCAGATTCGCTTGAGCGAGCTAAATTTTGAGAAGGATTCTCAAGAAAAAGAATGAGGGAAGATATGATATGTCAAGCTGGATGGATGAAAAGATTGGAGAAAAGTTCTTCACCTAGTTCATGATTAGTCTTCTACGACATAATACTCCAAAATCTTGTCCACCCTTTTTCTACTTTCGAGCAAGCATTGTCGAACCAAGTCATTATTGTAGAATAAAGGGGTTCTTGTACTTTGTCTGAGATACATTAGTATTAATTAGGACAACTAATTGGCAATCATTTCACACTTACAGAGGTTAAACATATAAATATGGCATCACACTGTCAAATTCTTCGAGATTAACTGGATAAGCCACTTTAATTAAAGACACAGATCAGGAAAGTTTACCCATTTTGCGAATGAAAATGCTGCCCACAAAGGAGACCTAAAAGAAATTACTTTTCAGGTAAAGTCTGGAATGTCTCTTAGCCATAATCAAACAAACGTGTATAACCCTATTGGGCTGTGATTATAAAGCTTTCAGCTCACCCCTGCATCGAGTTAATCAAAACCATTTGAAAGCTGAAAAAAGAAAAAGAAAAATACAGATAGAAAAGCTTACGACAATGACGGGAATGGGCTCTTCTTGTGGAGCATGCAAGTTCTTGAGAAGAAGGTGCACAATAGAATGTGTGTTTGCTCCTTATTTCGGTTACGAACAAGCAGCTAGTCATTTTGAAGCAGTGCATAGGGTGTTTGGAGCTAGCAACGTCTCCAAGTTATTGCTAAATCTTCCAGTTCAAAACCGCGCTGAAGCTGCTATAACCATATCCTATGAAGCCCTGGCCAGAATGCAGGATCCCATATATGGTTGTGTTGCTCACATCTTTGCGCTCGAACAGCAGGTTGTTGTACTTTTTATGCACATTCATTTTTTAACTCGTACTGATTAATAGAGGCCAATAGATTATACCTCTTTATGGATGGATACCTAAATTAATAAGATTTTACATCATTCAGGTGGCCTGCCTGAAAGAGGAGATCGAAATGATTGAGACTCAAATGGCTAGTCTAGCAGTGGATGTCACGTCTAGCTGTGAAAGCTATAATGTCGCAGACTACTCAAATCCTGAGATAGCCTTTGGGTGTGATCAGTACATGAATCTAGCGAATTTCATAAATCAACAACAGATGGAACTGGACCCAATTACATACACAGAAGTTAAAGCTTGTGATGACAGCCAAATGATGGTACAGTTCCCTCCGGGAAATGGATGGGAGGATGCTATTTCCCAGCTCTCTTCTTCCAACTCGAACTTATCGGAGCCACTCTTTCAGGAATTTACGCAATCTATATATGAGCAATGCCTATGGCCAGAGTATTGCAGCACCTTAAACTGACGCCCCATGTCACGTTAAATTAAATAGTAGAGCCCTCCTCCTACCACGACACAATTTTGGGCCTAACAGTACGGCCTATAGTCCTACTATGACTCTCCCGGGTGAACCTCAATCATCAACGTATATGCATTTTATATGGAAACTCTCATGAATTATATAATTCAAGAATCTAGAATCTTTGTACACAAAATTTTGCCACACACGATCACACCACCCCTTTGGATATGTCATCATCCTATTATGATTTTGATTTCTACTTGTGAAAAGATCTATATTCCATGGCAAATTTCTCTTCAATGTTGCTTTCAAGTTTTTGATGGTGAATAAATTCTCAATTGGGGGCCAGTTATGGTCAAATCTGTAGCATTTAAGGCAAAGGACTCTAAAGCACTCGTGATAAAAGAGGGCAAGGAGAAGGGTAGAATAGATTGTGTTGTCAAGAACACGCCTTTAGATCCCTGTTGTTTGCTTTGTATAGTCCCAAATTTTTGGGTTAGGATTTCGGTCAAAGTCCAATGAATGGTTGCTTGCTAAAAATATTTCCAAAATTTGGTGATGGAGTGGTGGGAAAGAAGGACAATTACATAGCTTACCATTTTTTGATGTCCGAAGCCCAAAAGGTTGCAAAGGGAGTGATTAGTTGTTTTCGACAAGAAAACTAAGGTGATTTTTACCTTTACCTAATTCCATCATTTTTTATAATCTCGATCCACCCTTTTGCCTTTTCCCAAGCTAACAATTTTGACCATTTTATTTTAGATATAAAACCAAACAATAAATTTCAACTATATGTTTAAAATTAGATATAAAACCAAACAATAAATTTCAACTATATGTTTAAAAAAAAAGGGGAGGGGGGCCAGGGAAGTTGGCGATTTCTTTATGGTAGATTATTTGGGATAATATATTAAAAAAATAAATACAATAACACTTTTTTAATGTGATATACATGAGACAAAAATGTGATCACAAAATATATTAATGATGAAATAAATAAAATTTTACAAATAATCTACCATCCAAACAAATGTTTAAGGACCTTTAACCAAATCATCTTGCTTACGCTCTGCTCTGTCCTGGCAATTGGAAGAAAGGAAAACTGTTGAGATTTTCAGCGACAAATAATTGAAATGGCTTCTTCGATCACGCAAATGGCTCCCCATGACCATAGTTCTATAACCACGGTGACAGCAACGTTATCTTGAGCCACTGCAATGGCTGCTGGAGATAATAGCCAATAGCCGACCATCACCGATGACAAAGTCTTCATAACTGACGTGGAGTTGAGCTAATTTGCACCAATACAATCACCGATTTCAAATGGTAGATAGGGATATTGAGCCTAATTCAACATTTGACCTATTGTTAGGTCAGAATAGAGAAGACGGAGGACATAGAGAATCCACAACCACCTCTCATCTACCGTGGCTAGAAACAAAGGTACCAAACCAAGAACACGCATCTAGCGTCTTGGCATTCTATCTCTCCCTTTCAAGAAACTATCCACGACTAATTACGACATCTTTGGTGCTTACGCCACAGAGAAATTGCATCTGCAAATGATGACTGTCGCCATTTTCCTTTTCTTTGGTGCGGTCTTCGGAGCTAGCAATTCATGTTAAGCCAGCGCACACGGACAAAGAGCCTGGTCCCCGAATGGAATCATACGCTGTGCCCTACAATGTTGTTCAACCTACAAAAATGATCTAAAATATTTGTCAAAGTAGGGGTTAACCGATCCAGTCCGGCAGCATAAACCTCCGACAAGGGAAAGTGTGAATTCTACAAGCATGCAACCCAGCATGGATCCTAAACTGGTTAGATCACACATATGACAACATGTTAATGGGTCCATGCAGACATTTAACCACTAGCTAACATCTTGAAATCATGGCCATTAGAGATTATGAAAATGAAATGTTTACCAACAAGAATTAGATCAAGAAAACCCTAGACTTGATGATGCAACGCAGTTGGTGACACTGAATAACAAAACTTATGGATACAATGCACAAGCAAAATCATTTTATAGCAGCTTACAAATTACTGTCCCTACAAAACATGCAACACCCCGTGAAGAAAAGAAAAGGTCATAGAGCACCTGAAGTATATAAGCCTGAAATGTGTGAATACATTTTCTTCTTTTAACACTAGGAAAAAGGAATATAAGCATATTCCAACAGACACATCTAAGCTTGCCTGGAAAATTGAGTCGCAGACCACGGTTCTCAGCAGTTCTGAAACAGGAAACTCAATCAAGATTAACTAAAAAATCTATCTTGCTGCTGATATCCCACTTCATATTTTTATGTTCTGCTAATTGATTCAGATATTTTAATGACGTTCTGAGAAGTTCACAGCAGCAACAGTTTCACGGACACAGAAAAATCAGTGTTCAGCCTAAACAAATTATGGATGAAACAGTAGGAGAAATTCAAAGATAGAATGCTCATGCCAATTCGAGTTTTCCCTCAAAGTAAATCCTGCGGAAAAGATAAGGTAAACAATAAGCTGAAGAGAATCTAGCATGCATTCTAAGAGAAAACAAGCTGTCTCTTTAATCTTCTCTTTTTCCTTTTCTTTCTCTTTTTCTTTCAAGTCTCATCTTATTAACTCTAGACAAAATGTAATACATACTCAGAATCAGAAGTTCCCAGTCATTTTAGAGGAATAAGGAGAATCATCGATGAATAAAGAGAATCAAAGAATAAAATCGATCAGCTAGCAATCTTTTCAACTTACAACAAAGTGCATAACTTACACTTTCTTAAAGAAAATTTACATGGATAACCAACTATTAGATAGTTTTTATATGCCGCTAAATACCAACAGAGGAATCTTAATACCATGCCCCCGAATAGCATCCATGCGTACAAGCTGTAAACACAAGTTTCCCGATCCAAACTCCAAGCAGCTTTGCTTTGTACTTTAGACTATATCAAATCAAAGAACATGCAAGTTGATCACAAAATTTATTTGCACAAGGCACAATATTTGACCACCCCCAGACAAACACACAAAAAATAAAAAATAAAAATAAAAATAATTCTGGAATTTTAACCTTCAAAAGGTTTTCTAGAGCATTAACTAGGGCTGATTACTTGTAAAGTGTCATTAGCGCTGATTACTTGTAAAGAGCCACCATTTTGCTCACCTTATAAGCCAAAAGTTTCCAAGTAATCTGAAGTATTGGTTCTTTGTTTGCATAAAGCCATAAGAGAACGTATATCTAAATCTGGTCACTTTGGTACTTTATCTGCTACACTAGAGGGCTGGAGGACATAAAAAACTGCTAAGACAAAAATATTTTATACATAGCTAAAAAATTTCCCTGTCTATACTTCTATGTGGCATGGATAGTAATTACCACACTTTCTGTGAACCTATACAGATGATGGTTGTGACTCCTCTCTATCAAGTTTTTTTTTTCCTTTTCTCCTTTTTGGGGTCTTGGTACGGGCATAAATCACGTGAATTGAATAATATGTCTCCTTTGGGCTAATGACTACCACTAATGCATTAAAACTTGGTGGGGTGGGTCTCCCACCAATTTGACACATTAAAGTGGCTTTGCTCAAAAAATCCAGGCGGGTGCATAGTGCACCCGTCTGATCCAATGGTGGTTCACTCCCCTCCGGATTACCCTGAGACCTCTTCAGATCCTCCCCCTCCCCCCTAGTGTAGGATAATCTATCGTATTGACAAAAATATATATATGTCTCCTTTAAAGTATTATTAGAAAAGAAGCATCATGATTAGGGTTGTAAATGAGTCAAGTTTTAATCCAATTGAATCAAGTTCGACTCAAATTTACAAAGATCGAACTCAAATTGATGACCTTTCAATGTAAAACTCGAGTTTGACCTTAAATTCAAGTCTAGTTAAGCTCAAGTTCGAGCCTGCTCAAGTTTTAAAAAATAAAAAAAAAATTATTATTTTTAAAAATGAATAAAATAATCATTTTTCTTAATAAATAATAAAATATTAAAGATATACATGTAATTTCACTATTAAAATAATATATGTGTATTCGAGCCAGCTCACGAGTCGACAAGCTAAGTTTCTCTATGCTTGGCTCGAGTTCGATGACTTGGTCGACTCGAATTTGACTTGAACTCAATGTTGACTAAGCTCAAGTCGCTTTAACCGAGCCGCCTTGTGAACTTGATTCGTTTGTAGCAGTAGTCATGACGTCAAGAATGAACACATGCTATCACTATTAGTAGTCATGACGTCAAGAATGAACACATGCTATCACTATTAAGATGGGAGGAAACTCAATGAAATAGGAGGACACAGCAACCAATGATATATTGCAACCTAGATAGGACGAAATGTTGCTAAGAACGTGACCTCTTTCAAACTTATTTGCTGCCCAGACACAAACATATAAAGAAGGGTCCAAGAATTATGTATTTGTGGATAAGGGGTTTGCTAATACACTAAACATGCTCAGAATGTACTCTAAGACATGCATATGCTGGTGAGTGCGTGCACATATATTCAAACACATACATATATGTAATGTGCAACCTGCATAGTACGCCCTCCTTCACGCATCTCCTATTCAACAGAGTACACACAAACAAAGAAAACTGTCTGTTCATGCCAACAAGTATGCTGCAGCATTGATGTATAAACTTTGCAAGAAAAAAATAGTACCTAAAGTTCATGTCCGTGAATAATTGACTTTTATCTGAAATGAGTTATATTTTAGTTGAATATGTTATGATTTTCTCCCTATACAAAGAAGAGTACATTGTGATATTAAATCACATGGTGAATTATGAAATTTATTAGACAAGAGATACTAGACACTTAGCACTATAGGTGTCAAGCAAGTATTTATCAAGTTGAGAGTCAATGTTAACAACATTGGGAAAGTTACGCTTCAGGTTTAAGAATGTTGGTGCTTCATTAGGATATATGAGATCCATAAGCCAGCACTGAGTTCAACATAGGTGAACCATATGATTAGGAAGAACACTAGGAAAGAAGTCCTCCTCCCCATCTTTTGCACCAAGCATACAACAATCATTTTCAACCTCAAGTCAGCAATTGCTAGCTCAATGGAAGCATAGACTTTGAGTTTATGCAAGAGAAGACAACCTTGATCCTACTACTAAGCGGATTACATAGACATATTCCACTACTGCAGCAAAATCAAAATGTTTCCTATTCTTTGCACCCAACACTTTAATTGCTAATACTAATTAGCCAAGCTTAACTCCTTTTTTTTTTTTACCCCTTTTGCCAAAGTGGATTCGTATTATATGGAATTTTATCATTTGATGGTCTAAGTTTTTGTTTTCGAAAGTTAATGGAAAACCAAGAACAAGTAGACATATAATCTGCACTAGGTTAAAGCTAGACGGACGTGTATAAAGCGTCTGAATTGCAATTGTGGTTGCTTACCTAAAAATGGAAAAAAGAAGAAATGGCAAGATGATGTATAAGAACTATTACACTATTAGATTGTTTGCTGTGTGAGAACAAATAAAGGAACATTTTAACCTAATTTACTCCACTCCCCCCTCAACACCCCCCCCCAACACTCACAACAACAAAAAAATTAAAAGAGAAACCCATGCACACAATTAATGAACACTTGTAGCCAACCATATTTCATGTAATAAACGCACATAATTATAGGGCTAATTGATTGTAATTGAGAAACCACCCATTCTAAACGAGTGCACAAACACACTCAATAGCACTGGCAAATTAACTCACACACTAACTAGACAAACTTGTTTATGAGGTTTTTGACATATCAAAGAAAATTGTCAAACACAATACTCCAACATTTGTTTCTTAATATCATCCTTGATAAACATGGTACATGAACATGAGTTAATTGCTTGGAATAGTTAACAGGTCCTAAAATTTTCCCATTTAGTGATGCTCAATTTGGAGACGGTAGAGATGAAATCAAACAAAATTTCTGAACCAAGTTGGCAGAAAAAAAAAATAAAATTAAGATCAATCCTAAGCTCAATTATGTTAAAGCATGCAACCTAAAAGGAACCACCTTTTCCAGCCAATTGAGTTGAGAAATGACAGATTCATGAAGAATGCAGATGAACTAAACCATCTCTCTCTCACACACACACACACGGTGACAAACACAGTAAAGTTACAATAAAGTTATCAAGCATTCAACTACACCAGCTATTTTATTGAAGAAATCATTGTTTTTATTAAAAGATTCGAATTAAAGAAGAGTAGTACTTCTTCGAAGTACTTGTGAAAGATTAGTAACATACTTACGTTACCATATTTCATGGACAACATTTCTATGCCAGCATCTCCACCACCTGTCTAACCCCTGAATAAGCCATTCACTAAAGGAAAAGATGAATTAAATAGTTATTGCTCAAAGAAGAGAATGGAACTTATAAAAACAAAAGTTACATTCATTAAATACAAAAGCATCCATCAACCTAAATATCCAATTGGAAAATGCGATTCACAAGGAATACAAAAGGGTCAAGTAAAAACTAACCTTGCTACTACTTCCTAAGTTTACGAGACCTAGAGCTCGAGAACAAACAAGTGACTAGTAAGTATAGTTCATCTACCACTTTTCATTTGACCTTAATAAGATGGTGGGGGGCGAGGAGGAGGAGTCCAAAAGACCTCGTGACCCATTTGGCCATTGGGAAGCATATTAGGTGGTAGATTGAATAAAGGCATAGAGGATGCAGGATCAGCCATACCATGAGATTGAGAAGCTGAAGAAGCACCAGTGATAGTTCCAGTATTAACTCCTGATGCTGCCTGCAATTGAATCCCTTCACCGGCTGGTTCCTCCTCCAGAGGTAACCTCTCATAAGTTGCATTTGTAAACGTTGCAGCTATAACCATTACCGGCCCAGATGCCATCAAGGGACCAACAACTGTTCCACCAACAACTTGCCCTTGACCGCCCGCTAAGTACACTGTCAAACCAGTAGCTCCAGGAGGGGAAGGAGCAGGCAAGAATGCACCTGATAAAGACAATATCTCGAATCTCCCGTGAAGGGTTATCACCCCACCAGGTGCAGCCGGTTGCCGCAGAGTCACATTCGTCACAATACCACTTCCACTCAAAACCGAGACGCCCCGATGGCGCCGTTGGGCAAAGGCAGCAATGCACTCAGCAACATCATTCCCACTGCTTATTTCCAACACATGACTTCGGAGAGCATTAGGACTTTCTTTTGTTATCACAATGGGCGGCTTTGGCTTGTTTTTCGAGCCGGGTGGTCTGCCTCTAGGTCGCCTTCCAGAACTTCCACCGCCGCTACCCGGCTCAGAGATTTCAAGTGCTCCGGGATTTTCCTCAGCTTCGGGCTCATTTTCCCGGCTATCTTCTTCATCAGGGTTTTGGGAGGTTGGGTTAGGGTTGGGGTTATTGTTGCTTCCGCTGCTGTTAGTGGCAGTGGTATTGGTGGTGGTGGTGGTGGTTGTTGTAGTGTTATCCAAGAAGTCTTGGTCTCTCCTTTGCTGTCCAAGCCTGTTTAGCCCAGCAGCATTCTCATCTTCTGCAGTAGCACTGTTTCTTAGGTGAAGAGAAGGAGATGGAGTCGATGGTGATACTAACGGATTCATAGCCACGTTTCCAGCCCACCACCTGTTCGCCATGCTTCGTTCTTCAGGGAGAAAGATTTTCTAACTAGTCAAGAATGCGGTCGGAGCCCAAGATAACGCTTTTTTCTTTATCAAGAAACGGAACTGAGCTAAGCTAGCTGCTAACACTTGCTTGACCTTCTTGTTCTCTTCCACAATGTATTAACAAACAAACAGCCAAAATTGCTTTTTGGATTGGCCGCATCCGTTACATCGGTCTACTAGTGGAAATGAAAAATAGCAAATAGCAAATGGTTTCTTCTTTGCCTTGCTTTTTTTTTTTTTGGATGTGCAAATACGAGATCTAATAAATACACCCCTAAATCCAACAGAGAAACTCCAAAAGCGTATGTTGGACCAAACTTCTTGTACCCAAAAACGGAAAATCACCCGGCCCCAACCAACCACAAAACCAGCTACCCAATACTCTTTTGCCTTCTTCCTCAATTCCCAGTTCTCACCCGCACTCAATACCTCTCTTTCTTTGCTTCTCTTTCTAGGATAAACCCTATCCAACAATATCTTAACCTCAACTCTCAATTCCAATAGGAAAACCCAGATCTGCCGTAGCTTCTCACAAAATACCCACAAAGCCCAGCTGCCAAAAACTCAAGAACGCAAGCGGAGATCTAAACAAAAGAGGAATTTGTTGCCTCCACCGGCAGCTCAACAATAGACTGTGAAAGTGTCAAACACTTTGCATTAAGCTACAGTTTAAAAAGTTGAAAGAAACCACGCACCTAGAATAGATTAACAGTATAAGTACTGAACTAATCAGTAGTATATGGTGTTTGCGTGTGTACATGGTACTGAGTGCTAGCAACTTTTGCTTCTGAATTCTGAGTTGTTCTGAAGAAGAGCAGAAAGAGAGAAAGAAAGGAAGAAAGAAGGGAAGAGTCTTAGGAATTAGGAGCACCTCAGTTGGCACGTACGTTAGGCTTAGGTTTTTGGTACTGAGGTTACCTTTCCCTTTCCTAAGCTTTCCTTAGCTGTTATGACTAATAATGTGGTACTGGTAGTACTAGAAGTACTAGTAAAGGTTTGGTGTCTATCTGGGTCGGTCTATCTGATCTGATGATGCTTGAGGGGGTTAGCTTCTTCTGCTGCCTTGCTCCCGTTCTGCCCCGTGGTTGTACGTGTTTGCAGAGAGTGACGCTGGTGCGTTAAGCGGCTGAATACCGTATTGGGACTCGTATAAGTAGCTTGACAAATATCACTCTGTTGTACAATATACTACCCGTTTCCGGCCTCCTCTCTAATACTATCTTAAATACTCTATCCCCACCCCACCGCACCACGCCCTTTTTTGGCGGTTTTGCAGTGAGTGGTTTTCTCGCTGTCCCCTCCGCAATAAACGGTTTGTTGGACCGTCAAGTTTGACGAGGGCTCAAGTTCCAATTCCCTGCGCTCAGTTCTAACGCAGGCTCTTTGACCGTAAAATAGAGATTTGCACCACCCCGGAATATTACCGAATTATCACTGTCCCGTTTGGAAGGTTAGTTTTTTAAGTATTTGTATAAAATTTTACTGTAGATCGCTGTAAAAATTATAAAAAAATTTTTATGAGATGAAAAAACTTTTTTTTCTTTTTCTTTTATTTTTTTCTTTTTCTTTTTTTTTCTTTCTTTTTTCTTTTCCTTCCTCCCTTCCTGCTTCTTCTCTCTTCCCCTTTCCCTTCCCCCGTTCCATCTCCCCAAACTGCCAGCAGAAGCAGCAACTTTCTTTCTTTTTTTTTTTTTTTGCTTTTTTTCTCTCCCCCTCTCTTGCCCGCCACTCCCTCCTTCGCCCGCCTCTGCAAAAGAAGACCGGCACCTAAAAGGGGCGTGGCTTGACTTGACTCCTACCTGTTGTGAAATATGAAGGTGGAAAAGATAAGGTTGGGCTATGGTAGGGCCGGGTTGGAGCCCGAGAAGAATGGTGGGGGAGAGGGAGAGGGAGAAAAAAAAAGAGAGGATCAAAATCGGGCAAAGGGGGAGGATGGCAATGGAGGAAGAGGGGAAGAGGAAGAAAGGGGAAAAAAAAAAGAATGGCACCGGAAGAGGTAATCGGCGCCGGAACCAGCGGCGGAGGTGGTGGCTGGCGACAGAGGTGGTGGTGGGTTGGGGTGGGGAAGGAAGAAGAAGAAAAGAGGAAGGGAATTTTCTTTTTTTTTTTTTGTATTTTGAATATTTTAAAGTGTGTAGGTTAAAAACTTTGATTAGTTTTTGGGGTTTCTGTAGTAAAAGTTGTTAAAAAACTAATATTATACAAACTTGCCTAAAAACTAAGGTTCCAAATAAGGGCCACTTTGTCAGTTGAAAATTTGGGATTTCACTCAATTGTTATGTTATTTTTGGATTCTTATTTTTAAGAGTTTTTTTAGAAAAAAATATAATATAGAGATTTAATGTATGTGAGGTAAAAAGTTGATTAAAAAATGTGTTTACGAATTATTAAAAAAATTTATTGTGTTTACAAAGAAAATGTAAAAAAAAATTGTGAAAAACCACAATTCAAAATAATATCAAAAATCTCATTTGAGGTTTCTCCTAATATTACTTGACACTCCTAAAATTTTAAAAACATCACTTATCTACTCTCGAAATTGTAAAAAGTCTATATTAACCCTTATTTGATACATAATTCACATATCCAATAAATAGATCTCAAAATTAAAAACATAAATAAAAGTCACTTTCTTTTCTCTTTTTTTTTCCAACATTCTCTCCTACTCATTTTTTGGATGACTATGCAATATATTATTGATAAATTATAATAATTTGAATTTTGTTTTTTTTTATTTTTATGATTGTGATAGAGTAAGATATGATTTATTTGCTTATTTTGAGTTGATTATTATAATTATTGGTACAATTTAAATGTTTGGACATTGGTTCAGAAGAAGTTGGAAAAAATATAATGTTTATAAGAATTTGATTTTGAGCATATAGAGTTAAATTAGTACAAGTATACTTCTTTACAAATATCTTTTTATTTTTCATATTTATATTTTTATGGGTTATAGCATTGTGATGTGGTAGTACTACTAGAGATTATTTTTTAAGTGATAGCTTTCTTGAATTAAACAAAGTGGTTTAGGAATATTTTTATTTAGCAAGTAAATGGGGTAGTTTAGGGTTTTTAAATATTAGTGTAACAAAAGTAAGAGAAATAAATGATATTTTTAAAATTTTAAAAGTACTAAATGATATTAAGAGAAATCTCAATTGAGGTTTCCAATATTATCCCATTTATTTGATGGCATTGTATAAAGATAATGTGGATGTGGATTGCAATTTATATTCTCTTCGGAACCTCATGATCACCTCGATGTGTATATATATATAGACACACACATACAAGACATCTAAAGTTTGACCTTGTTTTCAATATTTTTTTAATTGATGGGTATTAGTTTTAATTAAGGACATAAATCTTACCTTCTAATTTTAACAAAGTGCACTTAAGTTATAGCGTTCTAACTTAACACACACAACGATAATAATAAGTGTGTTTGGACAGGAGATAAAAGCATTTGATGTCAAAATTAATGCTAATAAATACTAAAAAAAAAAAATCTTAATTACGAGCGTCGAAAAGCTATACACAACACCGGAAATTTGTGAATAAACAATCGAGTTTCATTAAATACGGTTGCTTTTCGATTGAGTGATGATATGTAGCTTCTTTCCGAGTAGATTATTTTCACGACATCTAGATTAAGATGAAAAATAGAAAATGACATCAATTCTATATGCGAGAAAGGAGATTATTTGAAACAACACTATAGTACTTTTTATTATATGATATATTTAAGACAAAAAAGTGTTTAAAAATAAAAAAAATATTTAAAAATTAATATACATGATGCATGCAAAAAAAAATTTACAAATGAAATGATATACAAACTATATGATTGTCAAAAATTGATAGGTAGTGAGTGCATATGCATTACTCCAACCGAACCACAAAAAAATGTTCCTTTGATCTAACGCGAAAAAGTTAACAACTCACTAGCCTATCACAAAACTTGACACTGTAGTCCAGCACTAAGAAGAGTAAATAATTCACCAGTTCATCACTCAGATAGTCTTTTACCTTATTGGTCCTTTTTATTTTATTTTATTTTTTTGGGAAAAGGACTTAGGTAGAATTGAATTGATTGGAGGACACAGCCACTTAAGGAGCGCTTAGAGTCCAATGGTTGGATTTGGAGTCATCTCGAACCAAAAAATAAAAATAATAAATGCATTTCTTCTTTAGCAAAAAAGGTTCAAGAAACATTTAAATCCCCCTTCCTTTCTTCCTTTCCCCTCTGTTTTCTAAAGCAAGGGCTCCTGTTATTATTATATATTATTATCCAAATAATTTGGAGGTTAGAAGGAATTTTCAAACCGGAACGAAGGTTTGACCAGACACGTCAACGTCAGTCTTTCCGGGAGACAGGTGGCATAATATGATTGGGTTTTCTTTGGTTGGAGAAGAGTGGGAGAAGAGCAGCGTACTTAAAAAATAAAAAAGAATTAAAACATGATGTTTATGAATGAAAAATAATAATATAATAAAAAATGAGACAGAGAGTGGCATAGGGTGTGGGACAGAAGATCCGTTGCGACTTAAAACCCATGGTCCTAAGTCACCTCTTGGTATTTGGTAAAAGGCTGCGGCAGGAGTCAGGAGTACCGCGCGCGAGCGCACCACAGACGCTCGCACTCTCGCTGGAGACAAATCGGTCAAATCCCTATCTCCATCTCTATCTCGAAATGGAAAAAAGAAAAAGAATGCAAGAAATGGGGGGACTGCAGGAAGTGAGTGTGGGGTAACGTGCGCACGAGGCCCTGAGGGGGGAAACCAAGCAAGCAAATGGTAATTCGGACAATGGGCAAAGGAGCAAAGGAAGAAGGTGGGGCGGGGAAGCGAGGGGCTGGTAATGGAAACACGTCACTGTTTCCGACTCCCGACAAAAGTATCTAATGCCAAGGCTCTCTCTGGAATCAAATCTGTATGGATGGATGGAGTAGTCTGCAATTGTGCGACATCTCATCTCTGATCTCTCTCTCTCTCTCTCTCTGCCCCATTCACCTAGCCTGCATTATTAACTCCGAGTAGGATGCTAGTAGCCGAGTCGCACTTCCCTGCCGCTCTTTTCTTACAGTAGTATTAGTGCCAGTATACGTCTTTTTAGTTTTTACTGCTGCATGTTTTTACTGATACTCGCGTTCATCTGGCATCACAGACGGTTTTCGGCAACCGCTTCTTTGTTCAATGGTAGCATTATTTGAATAAGTTACATTTTATTATTATTTATTTATATAATTTAAAACTCCCAGTCTCATTTTGATACGTTTATTTTCCTTTTTCATCGATTTCAAATTATAGTATATTTTTCAACTGAAAAATATAGTTAATTTATAACACCTCTCAAATGCCCTTATCTTATTTAATATAGATTATTTTTTATTATAACTTAAATTATTTAATATAAAACTAATTAATCATACTCCATTTGATATAAGGGTATTTTAGGAAGATAGTTAACTAGATTTATTCTTCCAACAAAACTAACTAGCTTTTTTTAAATAATATGAAAAAAAAAAACTAAACCTATCAAAATAGGAGGAGGGAGTGATAGAATTATAACACTCAATTACTATTTATGTAGGTCTCCTACGTGTTAATTACATTTTTTGATAGGAAACTTAATAATTATTCTCTTGTTTGTTGTAATGCCTCAACAAGATCCAAATTGATTAATTTTTTTTGTTTTAGTTCGTGGTTGTGATTTATTGTTTCTGAGTGAATTTTAACAAATCTATTCGTGGAATTTGTGACGTTAATATACAGAACGTGATTAGGAGCAACCCATGGCAACTGACGTACATCTGCACCGTGCTTTATTCTGATTCCTTAGACCCCCAACACAGCTGCTAAACACTAGTGTTTGACACGTCCTAATGTTTATGCTCTTGCGAGTCCCTCGGCGCTTTCGGTGATGTAGGATCGGGTGGCTCGACCCGAGCTCGTAAACTACTTGATCAATGGCTCGATTTGAGCTCATTTTGCTCGAGATCGAGCTACTTAAAAGTACTATCAAGTCGATTTTGAGTTTAA